AGAAATGTCCTCACGTTGATCCTCTCTCTGCTGTTGTTAGGTGCCACTGAGTTAACTCAGACTCACAGTGACTGTATTACAACAGAACAGAAACACTGCTCAGTCCTGCACCGTCCTCACATCTGTGCTATACTTGTTTGCCTGCACCTTGCAGCCACTGTGTCAGTCCATCTCATTGAGGGTCTTCCCCTCTTTCACTGACCCTCCACTTTACCAAGCATATCCTTCTCCAGGGAACGGTCCTTTCTGACAACATGACCAAAGGAGGTGAGACGAACTCTGGCCATTCTCACTTCCAAGAAGCATTCCGGCTGTACTCCTTCTAGAACAGGTTTGTTTTTCTTGCAGTCCATGGTATTTTCCGTATTCTTCACCAACACCACAATTCAAAGGCATCAGTTCTTCTTTGGTCTTTCTTATTCATTATCCGGCATTCACATGCACATGAGACAACTGAAAATACCACGGCTTGAGTTAAGAGCACCTCACTTTTTAAAGTAACATCTTTGCTTAACACTTTAAAGAGGTCTTTTGCAGCAGACTTGCCTAGTGCAATACAGCATCTGACTTCCAGACTGCTGCGTCCATGAGTGTCGACCGTGGAGTTAAATAAAATGAAATTTCTGACAACTTCAATCTTTTCTCCATTTATCATGATGCTGCTTACTGGTCCGGCTGTGAGGATCTTCATTTTCTTTATGTTGAGGTGTAGTCCATACTGTGGACTGTAGTCTTTAATCTTCATCAGTGCTTCAAGTCGTCTTCACTGTCAGTAAGCAAGGTTGTGTCATGTGCATACGTAGGTTGTTAATGAATCTTCCTCCAATCCTGATGCCATGTTCTTCATACAGTCCAGCTTCTCAGATTATTTGCTCAGCGTATAGACTGAACAAGTATAGTGAAAGGATACAACCCTGTCATTCTCCCTTCCTGATTTTAAACCATGCAGTGTCCCCTTGTTCTGTTCAAATGACACCCTCCTGATCTATGGACAGGTTCTTCATGAGCACAATTAAGTGTTCTGGAATTCCCATTCTTTTCAATGTTATCCATAGTATGTTACGATCCACACATCAAATGCCTTTGCAAAGTCAATAAAACACAGGTAAACATCTTTCTGGTATTCTTTGCTTTCAGCCAAGATTCATCTGGTATCAACAATGATATCTTTTGTTTCATGTCCCCTTCTGAATCCAGCTTGAATTTCTCGAAGTTCCCTGTCAATGTATTGCTGCAACTGTTTTAGAATTATCTTCAGTAAGATTTTCCTTGCATGTGACATTAATGATATTATTCGATAATTTCCACATTCTGCAGGAACACCTTTCTTTGGAATGGATACAAATATAGCTCTCTTCCCATCTGTTGGCCAGGTACAGGTGCCACCCCTTGGCTGTCAGTTGGTCGTATTGTAGTGCTTTGTGTGTTACTTTGAGGCTGTAGGCTTTGCCACCGGTATTTTAAATACCAGCAGGGTCACCCCTGGGGGCAGGGTTCACTGGAGCTTCCAGACTAAGACAGACTGAGAAGGGCAGAGCTGTCCACTTCTGAAGAAAATGGCCACAGAAAATCTTATGAGCAGCAGTGAAGCACTGTCTGCCATGCAGCTGCCTTTGCTTGGTTCTCACTCCTCCCACTCTGGATTTCCTCTGTAACACACTCGCTGTCTAGCTCTCTCTTTGACTGTTTGCCCACCACTCTTCTTCAGAGTCTACTCTTAAGCCATCTAGGATTTCTTCACCAATTCCTAGTGATGGCAATGTCCTGTGAATCAGCCTAATGGCTTTCAAAGTTCTTGGTATACAACAGAACACGTTGCTCCAATCTCCTATCTCCACTCCAGCTGCCAACGACATCCTTGAAATGAACTCAGAGCCCATCTCACCCAGTCTCCTCTATGGCTCCATGGAAGTGCTGTGTTCCAGACATTGAAACACTTCCCCAAACCGGTGCCACATGGTCATGATGTCCTCCTTCCTGGTCTCCCACTTCTCCTAACTACCTCAGTCCTAGCCATCACTCGTGGTTGACATCTCTGGATCCTCTGGGTCCTGACACAAGATCTGTCCATTCTGTACAGCCTCTCTTACCCAGAACCCTTTTCTTCTCTATATGCATGGCCAAAAACTTCAACTTAACCTAGGCTTCTGTTACTACCAAACCAAAATCAAACTTACTGCCAGCGAGTCCATTCCGACTCACCGCGACTAGTGAATGTTAATGAAGTAAGATCCCACACGTGGCTGCAGCCACTCCCATCCACCCTGCATCCCATGGGCTGTTAGTTTTACTTCAAACACGGCTCTCGTGGGGTAACTAAGCAAACCCTCATGCCCTACACTCCTAACAGAAACCAGCATGCAACTTCAAGGAGCTAACCGTTGAGGTCCTCTACCACCGCCAACAAACCTATCTTCCAGTCTTCTTTTCAAAATTAAAAAACTGTTCCAGATACTCCAGTGCCAGCTGCCACCTTTCTCCCCAATGCAACGGAGCATGCTGATGCAGGGAAAGGGGCTGCTAAGACAGGCCACCAGTCACACCATGCCACCCGGCCAAGTGCTGAACAGCCCTGCCTACGCCTCCCTGTACCCTCCAGGGCTGCTGCGGGGTAGTTATGATGTAACCTCGCCCCTAACAAAGTCTGCAGACCCCCGAGTTCTAACAGGCTCCCTCCCATCGCTCTTTTCAGGCGAGATCGCGACTGCGAAGTCGTTCATACCAGTTCCCCTCCACTGACTTTCTGTTCAGAGTGGAAGCCGAAAGCCTCACTGTGTCCTACAGGGCCTCACACTCAGGCCTTACTCTGCCCTTCCCATGTCAGCTCCTGCGCCTTCCCCACTCATTCCGCTGCGGCCACTCCGTCGGCCCGCTCTTCCCAGCATGGCCCAGCAAGCTCCTGCCTCAGGCCCTCATCACCGAGGTTTCCATCTCCAGGCGTTCTCCGCTCAAGGTGTTTACACAGCTCACATCCTGCGGCCAGAATCTCTGCTCAAGTACAACCTTCTCTGTGTGGCCCTCGCTCTCTAAATCCCACCCACCGCCTGCCAGTTCCCCACCCATTCCTCCTCTACCCTCTCTGCTTACTTCCTCTCTGATGCGTTTTTTTAATGTTCTTTTAGTGTAGTACCTAAGGCACTTGACTGCTAACCAGAAGGCTGGTGGTTCAAACCCACCAGCCACTCCTCGGAAGGAAGGAAGGTTGGACAATCTATTTTGCTAGTGATACTGCCTCAGAAAGCCAAAGAGGGGTTGCAATGAGTCAGGGCTGACTCGAAGGCACCTAACAACAACAATAGAACTTCTTTTGTCTCTATTCTTCACTGCACCCCCTCCCCCCGCCAAGAATGGAAGTCTCGCGAAGTCAAGGACTTTTGCCCCACAACTGCTGTATCCCAAGTAACCTACAGCAGTGCCTGACACAGGCAGGTGCTCAGTCAGTACTTTGGGTGAATAACCTGACCCAAAGAAGAAATAACTTAAGATTAAAGATAATTTAATTCACGTTTCAGAAGGTTTAAGGCCAAAAGAGTAAAGCGTCTCCACCCTGCAGCTCAATGTCGGAGTCTAGGATTTCTCCCTCTCCTCCTGCGCAATGCCTCCCTCCCGCGCCTGCCACCTCCAAAGTTTAACATGTCGGAGACCAGTGCAGATACGCAACCTGACAAACAAACCCAGACTGCTCCCGATGGCCTACCTGGATGGCCTGCACACCTTTCTAATGTCATCTCTCCAACCACTTCCCCAAACAGACTTCGCTCTGCTTCTCAAAGGCCTCAGGACCCCTTCAGCGCTGCCCTGTCCATACCACTCCTCCCGCGCCCCTCAGGCGCCTCCCCACCACCCTGCCTGACCAGCCCAGCCAAGAGACAAGACCATCATTTCAGCACCCCCTTTGTTTCCTTGACAACATGTAACGTTTTCTAACGCTGTCCTGGCACACACAGAGCCTACTTGTGCAAACTCCAGGGGAGAGGAAACCCCATCTATTTTGTCCAGCACTACACCCCCAGCGCCCAGCACGGTGTGTGATTCAGAAATGACACTTTTGTTAAAGCTTGTGGTAACTGCGCCAGCTAATAATGACAGCGACTAGCTCCGTTTCGCTCCTACAGACACTGTTATGCAGTTGGCTAAGACTCTCAACACCACGCAGGTAGGGCAGTCTGGGCTGGAAATGAGTTGACTGGGATTACTTCCACGACCCCATAAAACGTGGAACCAGACCCTAGCAGGTCAGCTCCTCTTCTGTCACTGTAGAGGACAAACCACCCATGCTGCTGTTGGAAACCTCCAGAATCCTCATGCCTTTAAACTGATCACTTTAATCAGAAAAACTCACAGGCTGGTTGATGTACGCGATCATTTGATTCAATTCAAAACTGACCACGGCCCAGTGCCCCAGGTATGAGCTGAAATGGTTCCCCCATTAAGGACCCTCCCAACCCAACCCCGTCCCATAAAATGCTGCCTTCCTGCCACAAATACTTAGGGAGGGGAACGGTAAAAAGTCCTGTCCTCGGAGAGAGACGGCCCTCAGCATCTCCCCCATCACTCACTAACCCAAAAGCCAGCCGGGCAGCCCGGCGACGCGGTGGGTAAAGAGGGCGGCGCTCCAGAACTCTCACCGCACGCCCCCCTGCACCGCATTCCGATGAATGAATTCGGGCTTCCCAGTCCCACTATCAGCTCTGCGAGAGAAAGATGAGGCGTTCTGCGTCCGCAAAGATTTACAGCCTTGGAAACCCTATGGGGGTCGCTAGAAGTCGGAATCCACTCGATGGCAGTGTGCGGTGTGCTTTTAGTCTAAACAAGGCACAGGGGCCGGCCCTTAGATAACTACAGGAGCAAAGGAGCGGGAAGGGGAGCAAAAGGAAGCTTTGGTCGGGAAGCGAGAGCAGGGCACTGCGGCGCAGCCCGCGCGGCCGGACCTCACAGCTCCGCGCCCCCGGCGTCGGCCAGGCCGCCCTCCGCACCCCCGGTTCCCAGAGGCGCCGCACCTGCTGCAGGGAGGCGCAGCCCTGACACCGCGAGAGGTCCACTGCCGTCCCGGGCGCCGCCGAGCGGGTCTCGCCCGGCATCATGGTGCCTCCGCCGGGCCCACTGGGCCCGCACGCCTCAGGGACCCGCGGCTTTGGCCCCGTCCGGACTTTGCTGCCGCCGCCGGGCCTGCCGCCTGCCAGGCCGCTTCCCGCCGGGTCCGGGCGGGTCCATCCGTGCACAGAGGTCCCCGTGGAGCTGCCGAAAGGCTCTCAGAGCCAGAGCCGCCGAAGGCACAGCCGAGTGATACTACCCGGCGCGGCCTCTAGCGCGACCCCGGCTAGCCAAGACCCCGCCCCGCCCTGGTTCGCCCCGCCCCCTCCCAAGAGTGGGGCTGCCCGAAGTGCTGCCTGAAAAGAGTAGGCATCGTAAGCCGTGTCATTGCTGCAGTGCAGACGCTCTCAAAAGAAAAGACAACTACAGAAGGCTATTTGAGGTGTACCCCTTTCACTGATAACGTTTAGTCCCTACTTGTTAGCTTGCTCTGGAGACAGGCTTAATATAGAAACCTAAAAACTTTCCTGAGGGGCGGTGACTCCGTAATGATGTCATCAGGCGCCTGCTGGAGTGGAAGACCGCGGATCCTACCGGGAAAGTGCGCGATTTATAACTAGAGGGAGCAGTGCTACCCCACAGCCAGGATCCCGTACCGGGAGGGAAAGGAGAAGAGAGGGCGCCGCGCCGGCCGGCAGTCGAGCGGCTCTTCTGGCCGGCTCGCTGAGGTCCAGCACCTAGTGGTGGCGTTGATCGCTGGTGACCATCTCTCCTACGGGACCTTCTTGACCCGTGACCGCTCCTCTTCTGCAGCCTGCGGCCCACTTGTCCTCGGCCTGTCATTACTCGGTCTTGTTTCCAGACCCTATCGCCGCGTGGCCCCCAGAAACCCGAGGGGCAGTTTCCCAGGCCCTGGCTGACGGTGCCGCTGCCCACCCGGCGACCTCGCCGCCTCCCACTGTCAGTGTCCAGCGAGTACCGGTTACCAGTTGCTGAGCGGACTCTGACTCATCGTGATCCCACGTGTGTCAGTATAACGATGCTTCATAAGGTTTAGGATTTACAGTGGCTGGCTTTTCGGACGTGTATCGCCAGGCCATTCTTAGGTGTCTCTGGGTAGACTTAGACCTTCAACCTTTTGATTAGCACTGAGCATGGATCCCTTTGCACCCCCAAAGACTCTCCAGCCGTTCCCAAGTCCTATTTTTAATACCTCCGGGGAAGAAAAAAGAAAAACGAATCCCTGCCCAGACTGTAATTACTGAGTAAACCCAAGCCCTAGTCTTCTCCCTTGAACAAAAGTTTTTCTATGATATCTACCGCCACCACCATCAAATTGTTAATAATCACCGCTGTCGCGTCAGTCCCTTGCTCCGAAGTCTCACGTGGCTTCCTGCCCGGTGGGTTTTTAATTCTAAACGTGATAAAGAAATGCATGAACCCATTTCCTTTATTGCAACGTGGTCATGGGAAGCCACACAGGTTTAGTCCACAAAACGTTCATGTAGTACAATTGAATTAATTGTAATTATAGTGTTAAGTGATTAGAATCCCAATCATTAAAATTCAGGCTTTTACCAACCACGTTTTGAACTTGGAGGTTCCCCATAGCTGGATTCTAGGGACAGCCATAGCAGACATAGTCTTAAGTCTCCAGCAGGGTCTGTTCTTCAGAAAGCATCAGTCTAGAGGGGAACCTGTTGCCTTTGTCTTCTCTCAAGGGATACACGAAAGTTAAATGCTTATATACAACTTTCTAACCTTGGCCTTGCCTAACAGTGGCGAGGTGATGTCATGTTTAGTGTGTTACTTCTTTTCATGAAGGTCAGACATTGACCTAATGTTGCCTTATTAGATATTAAGGGGTTGTTGACAGCATCCTGATATTGCAAGGCCACCTTAAATGAGATTAAAAAAAAAACCTTTATGTTACATTTCTTTGGTTGTTTCAGGTATATGCCAAGCCAAGTTAGGGAGGTGGCTTATAACCTTTACACATGCTTCAAATGCTCTGTAAGACCCATTGTAAATGACTTGTGTATGTGTGGCTTAAGAGCATCTGTAGAAGCGAAACTAGCAATGCCTTAGGCACATTGCAGAAGCATCCATATGCTGCCCTGTACACACATGGTTCGAGACCATCAGAAATTGTACAACCTGCCTAGCACTTCTGTCTGGGTTATAAAGCTCAAGTTTTTCATCTTCAGCATGAGCGTGTGTGGACAACCTTACCACATACACCTTCCAAGAAAGTCTGGATTTTTCTCCGGGTTCTCCTATGCAGATGTCACACTCTTACCCTTGTGTACGAGGCCCTGGGTTTGCTCTTGGCTACTAACCAAAGAGCTGGGGTTCAAGTTCACCCAGCAGAGCCTTGGAGGAGTGGCCTGGCAACGTGCTCCCATTGTGACCAGGGAAACTGCAGTGCGGTGTGCAGTGCTTCAGAGCACCTGAAACTGCCATGAGTCAGACCTTGGTGGCAATGGGCTGCGTTTCGTTTGTTTGCTTGTTACTTACCTAAAGGCTATGCTTTTTTTGTTTTGTATTAATAACCTAAGGGCTGCTGGTTGAAACACAACCACCACAGGTGATAGCCAAGACTTGATCGCAGTTCTACTCTGTAACACATGACATCGCCATGAGTCAGAGTCAAATCAAGGCAGTGGGTTTGGGTCTCACCCTTGCTTACATGACCTGTGGCTGCCACTTGGTGTGAGAAGAAGGGGCCAGATCGCCAGCATAGTAGGTGGCCTGCAGTGGACATCTAAGAGGAGCCTTCCTCAGTGGAGGAGGTCCAGGCTAGAGTTGAAGACAAGGGTGCGAGCAGGTGCGCAGTGGGACTCACACACGTTGGCAGACAGACCAGGTTAAAGAACAGGGAGAGAGGTGTGTGCGTCCCCAAGGACTTTCCGGTTCTAACTTTGAGTCCCAGACAACTGTCCTCACAGTAACTGTCCTTTCAGTTAAAGTTTCTCAGGTGAGTCTTTGTTCCAGAGGACCTAAGTGCGGGAGCCCCGGCTTATGCCCCAGCCTCATCTCTGTCTCTGCTGTCCACCCCACCACAGCCCCACACAAAGCCTCCTGCCTTTGGCCTTTACCCGTGTTCCCGCCTCTGGGCACCGTCCCAGCTCCGCATGTTGAAATCCTACCTGTACTCCCAGGTCCCACTGTTACCACACCAACCCCAAGTCTGCCTCTTGGCACTCTAATTTGTTGTCACACCACATTTTTACTTGAATTGTAGTGATTTTCCTCTCTTACATCTGAGTCGTTCTCCCTTTAAACACAGCAAAGTGCATATATAGTAGGTTGTCAGAAAGAATTAAACTCAATGCAACTAATGGAAGGTGAGCATTAACTTCCCAAAACAAGTTCTCAGTTCTCAGACCCCTCAAAGCAGGAATAAACAAAGGCTTGTTTTTGTGGGCAGGGTTCCAGCAATCTGTTTCCATAAAAGGCTACCCAGCAGACACAAGCCTACAGTCCTCTGCCACCAATTCTTCTTGGTGTTTTTTTTTTTTT